TTTAGTTTGTTTGAGACAGAGAGAAAGCACTACCAGGGGAGAGGCAGAGAGAGAGGGAGAGAGAAAGAGAAACCCAAACAGGTTCCACACTGCCAGTGCACAGCCCAACGTAAGGCTCAAGGGGCTTAAATTCACAAGCTGTGAGATCATGACCTGAGCCGAAGTCTGACACTTAACTGACTGACTGAGCCACCCAGGTGCCGCCATTTTGTTTTCTTTTTTAATTTAAGTTTATTTATTTGAGAGAGAGAGAGAGAGAGAGAGAGGAGGGGAAGAGAGAGAATTCCAAGCAGGCTCTGCACTGTCAGCACAGAGCCAGACACGATCCCACCACCGTGGGGTCACAACCTGAGCTGAAAGCAAGGGTCGGACGCCCAACCAACTGAGCCACCCAGGCGCTCCTTGGTTAAAAATGTTTTTAACTACAGTCACTAGCACAACATCAGAAACGACAACAAAAACTTGACCATGTTGGTAATTTTAAGTTAAAATTTATGTTTTGAAATAAAAAATCGTAACAAAAGTTTACAGAACAGTCACACAGATACCATTGCATGCTTCATTTATACAAAAAAGTTCCATAGTCAAAACAAAGAGCTGTCATTTATAAATGTGAGTTCCTTTCTTTGAGCAAGAGATAGCTTATGTGCAACGTGAGACGGAAAAACCAGGGAGACCTGGTGACGCGGCAGCGGCCCAGGGCCTGCCCGAGCGCTGCTTCCCCTGCGCCAGGGGAGGGGAGACTGGCTGCCGTCTCAGGTTCTGTGTGCGGTGGGCCTTTCATTTCAGAGAACAGGACATGATTATAACCGGATCATTTCCTGTGTAGACTTCAACAGAAAATAGCTTGCTTAAAAACCGTACTACAAAGCATGCTATGCTTTCGGCTGTGACGCTCACCTTCTTTGGAAAATTTCCAATTCAGACGTTTCTGCTTTGGTTTGCTTTCTTGGAGATTCATCCTCCACACGCACCAGTCCATACGAAACAACTAACTGGCGGTGGTTTTTCTGAAGCTGGTCTGTGGCCCCGTCTCCATCACATCACACGGGCTGTGCCCGCCGTGTCTCTGCTCAGGTCAAACCATCTCCTAGTTATGGAGCACCCAGCTGATGGATTTATTGCTTCTTCGTTGCATGACACTGTTTACTGTGCCCGGTGTGTTTTAATATATTCCTGCAGAATTTCGTCAATTCGCGCTGCTATCAGCACGATCCACAGTTTGAGGTTTTTACGTAACTGCTCTTTAGGTGCTCTCCTGGTGAGAGCTCAGCGGATGGGCCCGGGCGCAGACATCAGGACCGCGATGCTGGTGGATGAACTCTCTCTGGCACTTCGCACTTCTGACCCTGTCTCCCTCCACTGACGCCGCATCTAGCCTCACAAGAATCAACGGAATTTGCGCACACTGCCTCTCTAGCAAAACACTCAGTTTCTTTTTCAATAGTAAACGTGACTTTTTGCCGCAGAAGACCTGCTCAGGACCAACATCACAAAACCATGCACTCAGACAAATGATCTAAAAGTACAGGGGCCTTATCTCCAAATACCGATTCTAAAATCAAGGTAGGTCTTTAAGACTTTGACCGTGTCCATGGGTCCCCACAATTCTAGGACACCTTATTCCACATCAGTAGGTCTATGGTGTGACAAAAATGAGAGTGCATACTCTTAAATGACAGCATACCAGGATCACTGAAGTTCCTAACTACAATGTTTAACGTTTTCTGTATTTCCTTAAGAATTCATAGCATGGCATCACTAAAACTTGCTAATTATGTGAGCAGTTAATTTACAAACATTTCCCCTCACAATGATTGTGCCACTATTCACTTTTATTTATCCCTAATTAAGTTTGATTTCAACTACCTGATTCTGAGTTTGAGGTAGCCTCATAATTCTGCTGCTATGAAAGTGCCATGTTCCAAAATACCACTTGAAGTATTAGATTAGATCTAAATGAGAGAGGAAAACAAAGCAGTTAAACCTTTTCCTCCCTTGGCATACAAACTAAAAAAAAAAAAAAAAAATCATCCATCTTTAGTGATAAAAATATAGTTCTTTTGTGAGCATAGACACAATACATGGAATCTGTTTCTTTCCATGAAAAGCAGAGTCAAGAGAAAAGGACTCAAATTCTAGAGCTACCTTTCGGTTAACCCGAGTAAGAATGTGCATGAACTCAAGCTTGTGAGCATACAGTCTGAGCATCGAGCAAAGTGACTGGATGAACCAGGATCCATCCTTGGAATTTCGCCAGGAGTAGTAACCTACAAGGCAAAATGTAACCAAAATGCCGTGAGTGTCTGATGTTATAAATTCCCACATAATCGTCAAGGAGAAAACAAGCATACACTTCCTCAAGCAGGGCCAGCCCTAAAAAAGAAAAGAAATGGCGCCTGTGGTGTCCGGGGAAATGACACTAGAGGGGACAAAAGTGTGCTGTGTATATACCCCTGCTCGTGGCGAGGAAACGAAGAGTTGTGAACTACCTTCCCCGCTGAATTATGGGAAGCTCTCTTCTCTGGGTCCCCCTTCCCGCAGGGAGGGTAGAGGGTAATGTGCAGAAGGTACAGAGGCAAACGTGTGAGAAGCACCACTGGGGTAGCACAGTGTTGCAGTCAGATTATTGACTCATCCAAGATAGAAGCTGCTCGTGTCTGCACACACATTTGAGTGTCCTAAATGCGTCTACGAGGCATCTGAATGAAGTATGATAAAGACATTACAGGGTATTCAAAAACTCCAAAAAAGGGTAAAAAATGTATGTATTGTACTTTTTTCAGATTAACTCTTGGATCGACTGCTTCTAATTTAGAAACACTTTACCTGGAAACATGTCCTGAGGTCAAAAAGAAATCATACTGAGCGTATTTAAAAATGTAACATCGTTTAAAAATGCATCTGTCCTCAGGGGCGCCTGGGGGGCTCAGTCGGTTAAGCGTCCGACTTCGGCTCAGGTCATGATCTCACACTGTGAGTCCGAGCCCCGCGTTGGGTTCTGTGTTGACAGCTCAGAGCCCGGAGCCTGCTTTGGATTCTGTGTCTCCCCCTCTCTCTGCCCCTCCTCAACTCACACTCTGTCTCTCAAAAATGAATAAACGTTAAGAAAAAAAAAAAAATTAGAAAAAAAATGCATCTGTCCTCCATTTCCAAACTTTGTGACACCCTGAGTTAGTCGCATAATAAATAAATCACACAGTCAATCAATACTTATTTATATGCTGATGGGTTTAACACAAACCACATTTCTTTTCCCTTGTCATATACTATTAAGGTTTGTCTTTTTTATCTCCCATCTCCCAAAGAATTCCTGGAAAACATACCTCTCTCCTATTCCAAGAAGTGGAGGAAGCTCTCACAATTACCATACCTGTGACAAAATGGTACATATTGTGTTCTGCTACTAAATCACGATAGTGCTATTCTGCATTACCCTATAGCCTCCTATCTGGCATTAAGTTCATGAACGGCACTGTCCAAGTACGCTTCCTTCTATCAGCAGATTTTCCAGCCAGACTTCGCTGAAGACAACCTTCAGACACTTCTCTGTAGCTAAAGTTACCTGAAATACAGCCCCGTTAGCTGTTCATGAATATCAAAATCCTGACAGCCTTTGGAACAGTTTCTTTGTGTTTAAGATCTCCAGGTAACATTCACTGTTTGTACCCTTACCAGGGGCTGTGGAATACGCATATAAGAAGTCGGCTTCCACTGGTATTTTCTGACAGGCGATGTCATCCTCGGTACCACTGTCAGTCTCAATGCCGCAGTCGAGTTCCGTGCCTCGGCAGGCCTAGAAGTTAGAAAATAAGCATTTACTAAAAAACTGTTATGTGTAGGGCACCTGGCTGGCTCAGTCGGGTAAGGGTCCAATTTTGATTTTGGCTCAGGTCATGATCTCACTCTTTGGGAGTTTGAGCTCCATGTTGGGCTCGGTGCTAACAGCATGGAGCTTGCTTGGGAATCTCTCTCTCTGCCCCTCTCCCGCTCATGCCCACTCTCACTCACTCTCTCTCAAAATAAATAAACAATAAAAATAAAACACCATGAGTGTATACACATAACTGTGATTTCTTTTTTAACTTTTTTTGTAACATTTATTTTATTTTTGAGAGAAGAGAGAGAGAGAGAGAAAGAGACAGAGTGCAAGCAGGGGAAGGGCAGAGAGAGGGAGACACAGGATCTGAAGCAAGCTCCAGGCTGTAAGCTGTCAGCCTAGAGCCTGATGTACGGCTCGAACTCACAAACTGAAATCATGACCTGAGCTGAAGTTGGCGCTCACGTGACTGAGCCACCCAGGTACCCCTACACACATGACTGATTCCTAAGAAATGTAAAGGCTGTGTAAAAATGGATGTTAACTATGAAGAATATTTTTGATAAAAATCTAAAATGAACATTTATTCTAGATCTCGTAAGTGGTAGTTTAAATGAATAAAAAAGTTAACATTAGTTCAGTAGCTTCTGGGAGAAAAAAATAATCCATCGGCTAATCCACAAACGAGTAACTTAATCCCTGATTAATCCTCCATCACCAGGTTATTCAGTGAAAGATTACCTGAATAATGAAGAGTTTGGGTTTGCCGGTTAGACTTCTACAATAATCCCCTCTGAAGAAACCTGTTAATTTTTTCAGGTCAACAGGTCCGTTTGTTCCATAAATGATTCCTTCATCACCGTGGCTTAGAAGCACGCAAATAAAACTGCTCCTTTTGCTATGATCTTCTCTAGAAACTGGAAAAACGTTTATAAGTAAGGAAAATAAACAAAGAAAACCCAACACAACTTCACTCACTCATCTCCTAGGAGACCGCACAGGAGAAAGATGAAGGACTTGAAGACGGAACCGAGAGGTCACCGAAGCCCCACCTGTGCCAGACAGCACAGCTCAGACCATTTCGGGGGGGGGCACGACTACTCTTATGTCATTTATATACAATGTAGGCTTATAAACAGTATGACGCCACCATTCTTATGCTTTATGGTTGTAATTACAGCTACCATCATATAAAGTTGGACCGTGAAGGCGGGTCACTCTTCATTATTTCTTACCACTGTCCAGCAACGCCACAATTTGTTCGCGTGTAAGATCGTTTTTATTCCTGACTTCGTATTTCAAGTTTGTGAATGTTTCTCGGAGGTTCGCCGCATCCACATCTGTACCAGACCGAGATGGCATTCCTGGAAAACAGAAAGGATTACTTAAATTGCATTAAAAAGAAAAAGAGAGTAATGGCTCTGTATGAATTATTCAGCGCAATAAATTTTTCTTTTCAGCTGTTAAGAAAATTCAGTTACTCTGATTGTTGGTAACACTAAGTCTCTTTAGTTTCTTGGCATATAAGACACTTCATAATACAAGCTGTATCAGTGTTATGGTCATAAGGAGATCTTTCACAGCTGTTTAGTAAAAAACACAACTGAAATGCTTAATGGGAGAACTTTGGTTAAATAAATTAGGATTCATTTATATAATGGAATACTGTGTTGCCATTTCTGTAGACAAAATTTTACCATGGGAAATGGTCATTGTATAAAAAAACCCTATAAAACAATATAGGATACTACTTTTGTTTAGGAAAAATATGATATATATATATATATATATATATATACACACACACACACATATATATAACCATATACACATCTCATACACTCAGAGGAACTGGATTTTTTTAAGTTCCCAGCAATTTTAAGATACGTTACTACTTTAATAATATTTTTTCAGAAAAAACCCCCACAAACCCACTACCACATTAATATTTTTCACCAGGCATCCTGCCAGGAGTAATTTCCTCCAACCCTTTCCAGACACCACGAGACCATGATTATGACCAGCTTCTTTTGTACAGATGTGGGACAGGAGCACAGAGAAGTTCAGGTACTTGTTGAAAGTGACAAAGCTCGTGTTAGGCCTGTACCTGGGGGTCCTGGGCTTTCATCACTCCTTTACAGTACCCTCCACATCAATGTACAGATTGATTGCACAGTGCACCCAGATTTAAAAATACTAAAATGTTGGGGAGGACACACCTTAGAAATGAGTAAGTTATTAACATGTATGAAGAGAAAAAAAAAGACTCAATGTCTGTACCTCCAAAATATTGTTGTTAGAGTATCTCTGTGTAGTGTGACTATGAGTGATTTTAATGGTTTTTCTTTTGTTAATCTGTAGTTTCTGAAATTTCTATTATGGCCATATGTAATTTTTTATAAAATTAAAATAAGCCTAGCAAAGTTTTGACTCTGGAGAGGCTGAGGGTACCATGCAGCTATGTGACAAGGTGAGTGAATTCTGGTCCTAGGTTGTGAGCCATTTAAAAATTTTTTAAATGTTTATTTATTTTTGAGAGAGAGAGAGCGTGACAGAGCATGAGCAGGGGAGGGGGTGGGGCAGAGAGAGAGAGAGAGAGAGAGAGAGGGAGACACAGAATCCAAAGCAGGCTTCAGGCTCTGAGCTGTCAACAGAGTCCAACACGGGGCTCAAACCCACAAACCATGAGAGCATGACCTAAACCAAGAGTCAGACACTCAACTGACTGAGCCACCCAGGCACCCCTGTGAGCTATTTAATAGTAGAACCGGAAGTATGATACTGTCAAGAGATCACTGCAAGGCCCTGACCTTCAAATTTCAAAGCAGAAAAAGAGCTCACTCTAATGCTCTAAAGTCTGCTCTAAAGCCAGACTACTGGTTTGTTGTTTGTTCTTATGGTTGTTAAAGAACATATTCAACAATGTAAAATCCTGCCGGAAGTGGGCATCATAACTGGCAATGCTGAGACAGAATGTCCGATGGTTCAAGGCGGCATCTCAACTTACAGCCGAAAGCAATACAAATGCTGCCATTCAGATTTAGACACCCATCCCCATTCACCGTGTCCTCATTCTTCATAACTAATCTAACACCAAGGCCCACTTATCTTTCCAGTGCCACCTGGCTTCTTTTGGCCATTTTCACCACCACTCTGGTAGACAGCTTCCTAAATTAGATGTGCTGCTTCTAATTTCTTTAGTTAAAAATCAATTCTAATGTGATCGATATGCCAATTCAAAGAATGATCACAGCATCAATTTAAAAAAGAAGTGGAAAAATAGCCCATTCAGATCATAAATTATACAAATGGAGCAAATGGAATACTATATGATCATTAAAAGAAAAAAATCTGAAGATTATATAGGAACACGAAAAATGTTTATATTACGTTAAGAGGAATAAGGATACAATACTGCTTGCATATTATGAATACAATTAAGCTTTAAGAGAAACGGTCAGGAGAAAATATCAAGTAATCCATCAAGATATTAATTAGCTTTTTAGGATTGTAGGGGATTTTATTTTTTATATTCTCTAAAAATAAAGTCTGCAATGTATTAGTAGATTCAAGTGGCACTCAGCATAGAGGCTGGGAAGGAGATTTGGTGATCAGGCCATGGTGAACCTAAGAGAACAGTTTCAGTGGAGAGGCAGTGGAGGAAACAGATTCGAGAGGGATGGAAAGAAGTGAAAACAGCAAGCTTGAAGTACATGTTTTCAAAATTTAGAGGAGACAAAAATGAGATCAAAGCTTAAGAGGAAGCAGGGTAAAAGAAAGGTCTCTTTCAAATGGGGCTCTGTCATTTTTGTAGGGGGAAAGGAAAAAGTCAATAGACCAAGTGAAGATACAAACAGGTGAAGGAGTCCAGGAGGTGGATTGAGAGCTCAGGCTGGGGGCGTGGTCGGGCACACCACGGCCAAGTCCCAGCTCTGCTATTAAATTATCTGTGTGACTCTGTGCAAGAATTTTAACGTTTCAGCACCTAACCGTGGTTGCTTTTCCGGGTTGTTATGCAAATTAAACAAGAGAATACCTACCAGGTGCCCTGTACGATTCCTGGAATGAAAAAATACTACTGCCTATTATTTGTTGAGTCCTTCCATTAGCCTTAAAGAGGGAACAGGGGGATAAAGAAACAAGGGCAGAAAAGCCAACACACAGATAGGAGGCTATAGGAAGAGGGAGAGATTATGACGGTGGATAGAAGATGGAGAGTTCATAATGTATTGCAGGACATGAAGGGTCCCGCTCCATCCTTACTTTGTGGTTATTCTGTGTTATCGTTTACTAATAGCATCAGTTCTCTTTTTAAAATTATACCAAACGTAAATAGTACAATATTTGAAAAGGACTAAAAATTGGGTTGTGATACATACCGGTACTTTCATGAAAGTTCTTATTATTAATTATTATACATAAACCCATTTCAGGGTAATCCATTTTGTAACTGTTGTCCATGTATATTCCAGAGTCCATTGATTTGCTTCCATGGAAGATCTTTCTGCTTGGAAATCAAACAGTTTACAAAGCTAGAAAGGCCAATGCTGCTGTTCACATCAATACAACTTTTATAACACAGATGAACAGTTCACATTTGTTGGGTGAATGTTAGGCTGTGTGCTGCGGGCCTTTCCTGATTTAAATTTCACAAGAAACCATTTTACGGATGAGGAAGTGACTGTTGTGAGGCTAAGTAATGTGCAGATGGTTATGCAGATAACGTGTCAGGACCGAGGCCAAGAGCACCTGTTGGACTTCAGAGTCCAGGCTTTTAATCTCCACATTTGGTTTTCCTCTAAATTGTATAGAATTTCATCACAAACATTTTATGCTTTAAACATTTTAAATTTCTTGTAATGTTGTGAGATATTTTACCTTTCAAGGTAAGAGCAACGTCTTAAAAATTACCCTGAAATGCTAGGAAAGCAACAAAATGCATATATGACTTGAAGCACAATATTTACCACAATTCCTAAATTGTTCCTTAAATGCCATGAGTTAAACAAATTAATAGTTAATACAGAAAATCACTGTTGTAAATAACTGGAAAATACTTGTCTGAAAGTCGCTAAACCTCTGTTAATCCTAGATCAGGGTCAATAAACTTTTATTTTTTTCCAAAAGGGCCAAATATCAAGTATTTGAGGCCTGCAGGTCATACAGTGTTTTTTGTAGCTCCTCCGTTCTGCTGGTGAACATAGCCCAGGACAATATGTAAGTCAAAGTGTATGGCTACATTCCAATAATACTTGACCAAAATAGACTGGAAGCCCAAACCCTGATCTAGCCCAAGAATCAGTAAATACCAGGTCTAGGAACAGCCAAACCTCAATACCTAAAGTGCATGTACTCATGCCTTTAACCGGGGAGTATTTCATTACATGCAATTACATGCAATTCTAAAAACATTGTTGGAAAAAGATGAAAATAGTACATGAAAGCAGTCAAGGTCAGAAAGGAACTATTATATTTAGCTAGAGGTGAAGATCCCCACATTTTACAGGTGAAAAAATCAACACTCTGAAAGCAGACTGACTTGTTGGAGACCATATAGATAATGGATCCCAGAACAGTAATTCTCCACCTCCTGCTGCCTCCTAGGAGGCAGTAGGATAGCCAGGCTGGGGGAGCTGGGGGAGCCGGGGGGGGGGGGGTGCCTGATAAAGAGCAGAGACTCAAAAAACCAAGGGATGTGAGGATAACTTAGCACAGGACAAAAACGACCTAAATCTGTTTTGGGCTCCCATGCAATTTGCTACTAAATTATATTCTAGGGGCACCTGGGTGGCTCAGTTGGTTAAGCGTCCTGACTTCGGCTCAGGTCATGATCTCACAGTTCATGAGTTGAGCCCCGCGTTGGGCTCTGTGCTGACAGCTCAGAGCCTGGAGCCTGCTTCGGATTCTGTGTCTCCCTCTTTCTCTGCCCCTCCCCTGCTAATGTTCTCTGTCTCTCAAAAATGAATAAAAACGGTAAAAAAAATTATATTCTATATGATATGAAAAGGTAGGAAGATGCATGTATCATTTAAAAAGGTTTTTAAAAAAATCCCCAAACCCTCTAAAAGGAGAGTGCATTTCAAAAGTTTAGTTTCGGGGCGCCTGGGTGGCGCAGTCGGTTAAGCGTCCGACTTCAGCCAGGTCACAATCTCGCGGTCCGTGAGTTCGAGCCCCGCGTCAGGCTCTGGGCTGATGGCTCAGAGCTTGGAGCCTGTTTCCCATTCTGTGTCTCCCTCTCTCTCTGCCCCTCCCCCGTTCATGCTCTGTCTCTCTCTATCCCAAAAA